TGTTACTAAAGCAGCTATTGCATGCAACTCTCACATAGTTTTGATATTTTGATCCCATGTGACGCAACGACTGAAACCTACACAGATCACATTGCACAGATACAACATGAAAAGAAAATGAATTATTCCCTGTATTTCCACAAGTCCAAAGCAATTATAAGCTCAGGCTGGCTGTTGGTAAATAAACTTGTGATTGACAAGGAGAAATCTCTATTGCTCTGGAGGCTAAACACTGCAGCTTCATGCTAAAAAACAGTGGGAAAGGTCAGGAAGAGCTAAAAGATGTCTCTGAAGATGTAACAATTTGTTCTGCTGCAGGTGAGGAAATCTCAGTGTTATGATATGAGCTTTCCCAGTTTCGCTATTTTGGCTGAAAACCCTAGACTTTTGCAGAGTTAATAAGAAGGCAGCAGCTGGATGTGAAATGCACAGTACATGGGAAAATAGAAAATATAAGGCTTTCGACATAAATCAAAATTTAAAGAATATAGAAAAAAATAATTTCCAAGAGTGACATTAGGAAGCATATCTATACATATGTATCTGTGCAAATATAAAAGAAATGTATATGAGTTGAAAGCAAAATGCTATCAAATGTCTGGACTTAATTACTTCATATAGAAAGAAAAATAATTACTAATTATGCTGCTAAGGTAGGAATGTTAATAAAACATTTTTATTCCATATTCAGAAAGAAACCACTTTACATTTCGTCAACGAATATGAACTGCTTTACAATGCATAGTCATATAACACATATTAAGACTGAACAGAGATCATTCTTACCAATTAGTGCCTAAAGTACAACCTAAGATTTTTGACTGTCTATGGTTCAGATATTTTAATTCTTGGGTTGCCACATAACTGCAGAAAGACAAAAAGAAAGTGAATATTGTGCCAATTTTCAAAAGTAGCAAGAGGGATATGGTAATGTGCCAGTAGTTTGTTTACCCTGGCTGCCATTGTCATAATGGGCCCAATATGTGATTAATTAAAAACCAGTTATCATATATTACCACTCCTGGTTCTCTTCTATTTCTCAAAATGTGGGCTGGCAGTCATGCACACCAAAGGCTCCATCATTCCTGAAGTAGTTAATAGCAATACTTATTTTAAGTCAAGAGTTTTTTCAAGTTGAACATATTCTTAGCATTTATGTTTCATACATTTTGTACAGCATTTGTTAATATGCATGTTTATATTACATATAGCTTTCAGCATACATAGCAATTATACACTGAAAACTGCACTCAGGGAGTATTTTCCCAAAAAACCACTGTTGATATGTAATTAGTTGGCCTTAGGCCAGTCATTAACTAGTACAATTTAATGTCTGGACAGCAGGTGGTTCCACCTAGACAAATTCCATATATGTATGTGTTATGTGTGTGTGTGTGTATAAAAACACCAGGGGAGATTTGAAGCAAAGATTTTATGTCTGAAACCTTTGCACAAAGGCAGAAATGAGGTACACACCTCACTTGCATATGAACTGAATGCCTAGCCATATGGTTCAGTAAAGAGATTAAGAAACATGGGAAATTTTTAAAAGAGCAGGGGAAAAGGACAGGAAAGCTGTTATTGGAAGTTGATATTAATAAAGACAGATATAATTGTGTCTTTCTTTCTTTTTATTTTCCTTTTTTTTTTAATCTATTTCTATTAAGCTTTGGGAAAGTCTTACTTATATTTGGATTATGCACAGAAATTCTTCTTTACTTATCTTAGTATATGTTGTAGAGGTGATGCTAGCGTGTTGCCAAAACTGATGTGTGGTGTCCTGTGAATGTACATTTCATCTTGCAAAGCAGAGTACTGAATCTGCCTCTAAGTGACCAGAGTGCAATGAAGCTGCAAAAGATGTCAAAGCAATTACAGGAAGTTCTACCAGTAAGGTGCATGGGATAGTAAAATCGTGATGCAAGGTAACTGCATGGAAAAGAAATCTTTCTGGAGTTAGCATTAGCCAGGGGTTCCCTGAAAAGTGATGAGCAATTTTGGTAAGCCCTGAACCATCTCTGGAAGCCAGTCAGTAGGAAGTAGTGTTTTTCAAGACAAAGAAGGAGATTTTGTTCTATCCTGCAATAGTAGATTTTTTTACTAATAGTCTATTGTGCAAAGATAGTAAGATTTTGTTATGCAAAGATTGAAAAGAAAGTATATATTACTAAGGTTAAGAATTTGTTTTCTAACTGATTTCAGAATTAGTTCTCAGTGAGAAACATGTCTGAAAAAAGTTTTCTTCTGAGGAATTTTTAAGAGTTTACCAGTCCCAAACTCTATCTGTTTTTGTGAGTGTTTTAGAAATAAACAAGGCACTCTGACTGCCAGATTTGCAGTAGAACAAAGATTGATGGAGTAATACTGAGGACAGGGCAATTATAGAGAACGATCTGACCTGCTTGATAAACTGGCCTGATTAACCATGTTAAAATCTAATGCACTGAAGTGCAAAGTTACGATTAAAGAAATGTCAAATGTATGTTACAATTTACTCCCCCTTACAAAAGGGAAGAGTGTACTGTGGAAAACACTAATTCACCAGCTTATGGAAGACAAACAACTTGTCAGAAGTCTCTAAAGGTAAATGAGGACAACTGGATTCTGTATATAGAAACTAGTAACTCATATGTGAGAACAGAAGAATAACAAAGCAATGTTGATCTCAGTGTATAGCAGTAGTGGAAAGGGTACTGAAGTCTACAGTTGATAAAGGGACAATGAAGAGTTGAAGGGAGTGCAAAAACAGAGATATAGCTGGATATAGCAAATAAAAGGATTTTTGTAATCAGAACATGAATGGTTGAATCTACTGGTTTGAAAAAGAAAACTGTGATATAAGGTTGGTATATTTTATAAAATTGATCCTAATGAAGAAACAGTCATTATGAGATAGCTTTTAAATTACTAGGAAAATATGTAACATATGCTAATGTCTGGGCTCTGGCTAAATTAAATGAGGATGGAAACAAGGTGCATACTTACTGCTGGTACTACAATGTACCTCCAAAAAATGTGGTGACTTCACCATTCCTGATATTTGTAGAAGACGGATCCATTTTCTTCAAGATAGTCTTTGGTCAGCCACAGGTGATCAGGATTAACATTTTAGTAGCTGCATGGCAGGTAACAGGTCTGACATCCAGCAAGTCTAACAAGATGATCTGATGGTAATTCTGGACTTTATAAGTCATGGAAAGAAATAAGATACATGTATAATCTAGTGCAAATACAAAACTGCATTTGCTATTTTACTTTGTTCTTCCATGGCATAGTAGGAGCTAATCAGAGCTAAACAATTCAAGAGCTCTGTGCTATAAAACAGACTTACTAAAGAAGTGCAAGGTGGTAGGACCATTTAGCAAGCAAGACTGGGAAAGCCCAGAAAACTGTCCCCCAACGTTTTGCTAAAGGCTTATCATGCACATGCAAACAAGGAGTGCAAAGGCAAAGGATGCAAAAACCTAAATATCACTCTAGGCTTAGTTTTAGCCTGCAAAAGCTTTGAAGGCCTTTTTCACATCTCCTAAGACCTTTCAACCTTATTTATTGCCTTATTTCAACTTGTTGAAATTCCTCTTTGGGTTTCACATGTGAAAGGTGTAAAAAGCCTCCTTCGAGCTTGTTGAATCTTGAGATAAGCCTGACTGAGCAATACCATGCCCCAGAAAATGTCTAAAATGAGACATTTTTTAAATTACCAGAGTGGTTTCAAAAAAAGCCTATCCATTTGGGGGGAGGGAGGGGGCAGGGAGAGTAGGATCCTAGAAGAAAAGGTAAGCGCAGAACCACAGGGGAGATACCCAGCTCCCCACTGGCATGTGAAGGGCTGAAGCTGGAGCATGAGTGATACTCTGCAAGGAAATTACATCTGACATGCTTGTAGTTGTAAGAACCATTCTTTGAGATGTGCACACTTACTGAGCAAAGAAAGTGAACTGGTCATGAGAAGATCAGTCCAGCCTGACTACCGGAAGATCAATTCTTAGACTTTAATTCTGGGAGAATAAATGTAAAGTAAAGAAGAGCTGAGAGCCAGAACCTGTTTGTAATCCACAAAAAATATCTTTCGAGAATCTACCCTGGATGAACCACACTGTTATATCTGCAACTTTTCAGCAGGACAGAAATAAAAGCATAACTATATCCAGAGAGCTCCCTTTCAGGAACAAGGCAGACATTTCCCAGACACCCCTCCCAACCACTGACACTTCTTCTTCCCTGTAGTCTAAAACAGAGAGGTGCACAGAGCACTATTGTCCTTGGCTGGCGTGTCATTGCAGAAACACTGTCCCACTCCCTCTGCCAGACTGATGATGCTATTTAAAGCTTCAGAGTGACACGACTCAGCCAAGCACACTGTGGATATCTTCATCTTTTTGTTGGGAAAGTAGAGGTAAAATTCTCCACGTTAACCTGACCCTCTGTTTTCTCTTCTTCTCTAGTCTGAACAATCCAAGTGACCTCAACCACTTCTCATATGGCTTCCCCTCAAGACCCTTCACCATCTTTTAGCCCTCTTTTGGACACTTTCTAATAGCTTCGTATCTTTCTTACATTGTGGCATCCAAAATTGCTCACAGTGCTCAATGTGAAGCCACCCCAGTGCACAACAGAGCAGGACAATCACCTCCATCGACTGGCTGGTAATGCTTTGCCTGATGCCCCCCAAGACACGGTTGGCCCTCCTGGCTGCCAGGGCACTGCTGACTCATATTCAACTTGCTGTTGACCAGGACCCCCAGGTCCCTTTCCACAATGCTGCTCTCCACGTGTCCTGTGCCTTTCTTTCTCTAACCATTTGCATGCAATGTGCCATGCTGTTTGTCTCACCACCACCTTGCAAACTCAAAACACAAGCCGAGTTCATAAAGTATGCATTTAATGTGGTCTGCCCTGAGCACATTCAACTTAAACATTTAAAGCTCTTTTTCAAGGCAACTAGCACCATGTTTATTATCATCTTAGCACCTTCTTCTTTGTGGCTGCCCATCCTCTGTACCCTACAATGACACATACTCCACTGTTGTCGCTGAATTGCAATGAATTACTGCAGTGAAATTCTTTGGAGAAAAAAGTTTCTCTTCAGTCTCTTTTTCGTTCATCTGAGATTACCATTTAATAAGGTTGAGCAGGAATCCTTTGCAGCCTGCTGGCTAATAGTAAGAGAGCTTCAGTCTCTCTGCAAGTTAAGGGACACAAAAGCATCCCCCCCTTGTCTGACATTACTTCTTTATCTGCCTTTTCCGTGCCACTGCTGTGCGCAAGGCCTGCATAATGAGGTCTTCATTATTCAGGATGTTGTATTCACTCAGCTGAACCAGACGGTCATACGCCTTCTCAGTGTATTGAATTGAATATGTTGAATAAGGGGAACAGCAGCCATAGAGATCAACTTTGCCATCGTCCATCTCTGACTCTGAGCGTTTCTGACCTAGGAGGAAGGAGCGAGAATCACTGCTGAGAGAAGGGAGTTACTCTGCTCATAAAAAAGTATACTCTCAACAGAGGAGGGAAAGAAGATTTCTCTCCAAAGAGAGAGTTCGCAATCTAAATTACTCATTTAGAAAATTTAGAAAAACCCCACCAAATAATTCTTATTAAAATTGACAGTTCAGTCCCTGGATCAGGCGAATATCAGCTGCTTCACATGAGGGGAAAGAAAATGGTGATTATTACTCTTACACATGTCTACCTGAGACTTACATGGGTACATCAAAGTTACCTGCAAACTAATTACTTGCAAGCTAAATAGCTTAGGGACTGAAACAGCATAGCCCTGGCATTGAATCTGACATGGTAAAAAAAGTAACTTTTAGCAGCAGAGAGGTTTGATGTACTGAAAAGAGCCAACAGTGAAGTTCAAGAGTTGGAGTATTAAATATATTCCTTTTAATAGACTGTCCATGTTTTTTAATATGTTTGATTACTTACCTGGTGCTTTGTATTTTTGGAAAGTATCATTAATTAGTGGGAAAAATAACAGTATTGGTGCTCCTGGAGTCTCAGCACCATCAAAGAGGTAACACTCCTTCAGCTTTTTCCTGTCTTCTTCACTCAAGTCCACCCTGGGAAAAAGGATTCCCTGCTCAGAGCAGTACTTGCAGGTCTGGTCCAAAGCCTGAATGAAGGAATAAAGCAGTATTAAGACTTACAATAGGATTACAGGGCTCAGGAAGTCTTGGAGTCCAGCAACAAAGCGGACACTTTCCAACCTTGTGTGAAAGCTCTGAAACCCCTATTGGAAAGCACTGTGTAACTGGAGAGAAGGCTTTTGATTTTTCTGAGTCTTAGCACAATACAGTTGTATCATACAAGAAGAAAAAAGAGAATATATACAGCCTATAAATGATGTATCACACTGCAGCATTAGGCTAAAAATGTTAGTGGTTAAGACTTTTAGTAAGAGCAATATAGAAAGCACCTAAGTGTTAAAAAATTTTAGGTATACACATGTTGAAGAAGAAATAAGGACTGCTTCAATTACTCTCACCTGTATCTGGGATCCTGCACTATAATTTAAATGCAGGATGACGTCCACCTTTCTCTCTGGTTTTAAAAGTGGCATTATGCTTGTATTGATGAAAAATCCAGTATCTACCAGAGACAGGAATTCATCTGATTGTGTCAGCTGGTTGGGAAATGTGTCTAACACAGTATCTAAAAGGAAAGATTTTTCTTGCTGTAAGTGCAATAGTGCAAAACTAGTTAGCCTGTTTTCCACCCTTACACCACGGCCACAGAGCCCTAACTTGTTACTATCTTTGGGGAAGAGAGATTTGCCAGATCCCTTCTCTTCTGCCCTCTCAGCTCCAGTCACATGCAGTTCTGGACAGTAGCAACATTCATGAAGGAGGTTTATTATGCTTCTCCACTGAGTGTGTCTTTGAACAGAGCAAAGGAGAGCCACTAGCAGGACCTGGTGGCCCAGCCTGAGGAGGTGTGCCACCAGCAAACCATTGGCATGTAGCTCAACACTACACCATATTAAGTCCTGAAACGTGGCCAATCACAGATTGGTCTAATAGTGATTCTGCCCAAATCTGCCCTCTAATCTTAATATCAAATTTGATGTTTTCTTTTATTCACTTTGTTTATTCTCTCTCTAGGTACACAGGTCTACTTTTACCTTTCCATCTGCAGAAGTGCGTGTTGTCCAGGTAGTCATTATGCATATGGAAACCCTTTAGGAAGTTGTGCTCCTGGGAAATGCAGAGGCGGTCAGTGAGAGCACTACGAAGAGCGTTGCCGAGGGGGCCGGGAGGGGTGAACAGACGAGTCTGCAGCTCGTGCGGCTTCAGTGGTAGGAGAGGTTCCTCCTCTGCACAGGAAAAAGCTGTTAAGTTCTATCTGCCTAGAGCAAAGTCATGACTCAAGAAGTCAGGGTAAGTAATAAAACCTAGTGCTTTCTCTATTTAAAAGACCTAGGGTGAAAAGGATAACAAGCACAAATGACCAAATGAAAAAGAAAATAAAAAGCTACTCTTACTACTCAAATAACTTCCTTACACAATCCAGACTTGGATAAAAAAACAAGATCTGGTATCAGGTAGCAATGAAAATCTGCTCCAGACATACACACATTCGTGGAACAGAATGAATTCAGGCTTTGGAAAAGGACAGCTGTTGTCCTTCTTTGTACTACCATAGCTCCTACTCAAAGCAGTCAAAATCATTTTGCTTTATTAATAATTAACACACCAATCTTATTATTTCTGAACATTTTAATAATCTACCAACATAAGTGTTGAGTCCTCATAGATCACAGGACTGGAGATTTTTAAATTTTTCAATTGTGCTTTGCAGTATGAGACATCTAACATCAAGTCCATCTAACAATAAATACACAGTAAGGAAAAAGTATGATCATTTACCTATATTGTCAATTTGGTCCCGGGTCCACCTGTGCCAGAAATCTTCTGACGAATGGGACAAATTCCAGATATACAACACATTGAATGAAAACAAACTGCTCCACATGCCTGTAAAAGGAAAGAGCTTTCTAATTCAAACATTCACATATCACAAATCTCAAAACTGTTATAGTGAATCTCAAAACTGTTACCATGAGATGAAATTTATGAAGTTTATGCTTTTCCATAGTTTATTTTAAAAGGATGAGGTGTAATTTTTATTTGGCTGCTGATTGTTAAACCTTTATTTTGATATCCAGATTTTGTTTTACGGTACTTAGGGCTGGAGATCTTTTTGAAATAATATGATTAAACGTTTTTAGGAAAATAATCCAAGTATCATGAGGCTTTTATAAAAAAAATAGATGAAAGGTTGCAATCTGAGAGATTTGATGAGAAGTTATATTGATAAGGGCTAATGATCTTGTAGCCTCTGAGTTTGTAGGATTCTCTTTTTGAGAATAAGCCTGTTAACACACCGAGGCATCAGCTTTGACCATGTATTTTTGAGCTTGAGAAGCGATTTCTTTGGTTACCCCTTAGGGCACAAGTTCTTGCTGTTTTTTGATTCAGCAAGTGCAAATGTATGCACATGCAGCACAGACTGAGGCTAAAATAGTACAGTACATACTCCTTCCTGCTAAGTGAAATGGCCAGTCAAAGAGAAGTTTGCATCTCAAATCAGTCACAAGCTGACAGTTTCTCTCTTTGTCTGGAAAACACATATCCACACTCCACTTAAGTCGACAGCAGAAATGTTTTGAGTATGGCTGTGCCGTTTTCCCTCCAGTCTTGCCTGGGCAATGTGGAAACTAGAGGCAGTGACATGCGGCCAAAAGACTCTCTGGACCAGAGGGGGCCTGGCATGCCCAAACACACCCCGGTGCAGTGGAGAATCAACATGAAGGCTATGGAAAATGTCTATAGGGAGCATATGAAATACTGACTACCTTATTGTTAGACTGGAAATAATACTTTATTATTATTCAAAACTAACTTTAAAAATGTAAAAAACTATTTGACTGTCATTTTGAGTTTTCTTTTTTACTGTAAACTGAATCCATTACAGTAAATATTAATTCAGCAATGAGATATTTATCCTCTCTGGTAAAACTGCCCTATTATTCGTGCCTTAGTTTATATAGCTCAGAAATAAAAAACAAAAACCCCCCAACAAAACAAACAATAAAATCATTTGATGTTTTTGATAGCTTATCTTCCAAAAAGCAGATCCTGGATTCAGGGACCTTCTTCATCAATCGTCCCATGAAGAACTCACTTCCAAAATCCTCAGTGCGAACAAAAACTCCGTATTTTTGCAATCCCACCTCATATGGGGTGAACTCCACCCATTCTGTGAAAAAAGAACACAAAGAAGGGAGCAATGTTCTACTACAGCCCTCAAAATAATTTTTGTAGTTAATTCTAATATTTCAGACCTATAGCAATGAGTTGTAAGCAAGGTACAAATGAAAACTCATGAACCTGAAAAGGCCTTGGAATGTTTTTGAGTCTGTTGCACAAGCAGTCACACTTTTACCTGACCACAAGGACATTATATGAACACACATCAGCCAAGGTTCTGGTCTTTAAATCAGGGGGGAGGGTTTAGGCTATCTAAAAAGACAGTCTCAGGATTTATCACCTTAAATACAAAGACAAATGACTCTCAGAAGTGTCTTAATTACCTTTGAAATCCAGAGTGCTATAGTTGTTCTTGACATTGACTGCAGTATAGATTGGAAGTGGGTTCTGACCGTGATCAATGGCCCGTTGCTGATCAGAGAGTCTATGGTTGTCTTTCTGTGATTCCAGAAATATGGTTAAACTGAGACAAAAATTAGCATGGGAACATTTTCTCTGCATCTAAGCTTGTAGGGCAGAAAAATTTGTGCCTCTAATGTATAATATGTGCTGGGTTTATATTCTGAAATGTTCCATATTTTTCAAAATTCCCATAAGCATCTGAAATATCTGCAGACATGCAATTTGATGACAGATTATTTGATGATTCATTAAGATGAAAGTGAAGGGAAATAATGAAGAGCAGAAAGCAATACTTTTGGTATAAAACATCTTAATTCATTATGCTGCAAATTTCTGTAAGACCTCTCACATCTTTCAAAAGTCTGCAGGTCTGTTTTTTAACACCTTTCATGGGTGTGCATAAAGTCTGCAGTTTTGTTATTTCTAAATAACTAATTTGCAGAATATGCAAAAAAAAAATTAAATTATAATATTTTTTTCAGAATGTTAGTCTTGGAGTTTTCTCAGAAAAACACATCCAAAATCTCACAAGCAAGAATGTTGATTTCCACCGTGGGTGAGTATATAAAATGCTGGCACCAAATGTTTTGGAAATGGCCATGCATTTGTATACACACAGTCTCGTAACGAACTACTGCTCTCAGAGGAAACAGAAAAATATCTTCTCCAGAAACAAATTTTCCAAAAATTGTAAGCCCTGTAAATGCTGCTTTATGACATACTGTACCCCATCATGCAACAAAGACTCCAGGACAAGACCCCAGAGGTCTATAAAAGTTGTTCTGCGGCCCTCTCTTTTCCGTTGGCACAGCTGCTTTTTGTAATACTTCAAATACTCCAAGGAAAAGGAATTTATTTTGCATTTTGTCATATGTTTTCGAGCCTCACTGATTTGCTTGTCGAGATCCTTTTGTGACCAGTCAGCATCTCTGTACAAGTTTGACATGGTCCTAGGAAGAGGAAATACATATCAAAGAGAGGAAAAAAGCACACCAAGGTTTGAAATAAGCAGTAGCCACATTTTATGTTTCTATTTCAAGTTCTTGATTTGAAATTAAGCTTTCCTGTCTTCAGTCCCCTAAGAAACTGTCATGTTCCCTTTGAAGTTACAGTCATCATCCCTGTCAAAACAGCTTGAGCGATTTTCCATAAACCGTTCTTAGAAGAAGGCTTGTTTTTATGTTTTTGTAAAGTATGTGACTTTCCCCCATGATAAGACTTTAATCTGTCAGTTTTGGAAGAAGATCAGAAAAGTAGGACTGGTGAGAAGATATTATAGATAGACTCCTGTACGTCAGCCCCAGCCTACTTCAGCACATCGGAGTCATCAGGAAGACTCTGACCAAGAGCTGCCCAGTCCTACTTACCATGTAGTACCAGACAAGCCAGTCAGGTACGTGGCACAGTCCAAGACACCGAGTTCCTTGAGTCCCCGCAGACTGCCATACAGTGCTGTTAAGGACCTCATCCCTCCTCCTGTAGTCATGATGGCCACCACTGGGGTCTGTGCAAAACATGGACAGAAAGGGCTAGCACAGTGATCTGCAGCTGACTGGGGCTCTCAGCAGAGACCTCATGATACATAAAGCCTGACACCACCACACGTGCCCAGACACAGATTTCCTTCTAAATGATTTCTACTGAAATATAGGCTACCACTCATTTCATAAAGGAGAACAGGAATAAAAGCAATGACAATTTTTGCTGAGGCATCTGACACTTGTCTCCAATGTGTTCAACATAGATGTTTGGTAAAAAACAAACAAAAATGCATTAATTCTAACAAAAAAGAGACAGTGAGGAAAAAAAAAACAGTTGAAAAGGCAGGAATTAAAAAGAAATCTCACAGGTTGAAGAGAGGAGAAGGATTATCAAAAAGGATAACAATCATAGGGTAATGATGTGGAAGAAGCCATTTCTATATAAGGAATATCTAGCCAGGCTTGCAATGAAGGGGTAGAAGGAGAAGGGTTAAAATCAGGATAGCAATAGCAAGGGGCACAAACAGCAGGATGATTTCAGAGGTATGGCATTATTGAAGGTGTACATAAGTTTTAAGATGAGGAAAGACCAGGAAAAAATTTAGCTGGGAAGAAAAAGAGGTCATATTATGCCATTATGCCCTCTCTGCTAAGCACTCATCAGAGGTTTTGAATATCTGCATGACAGACCTCATGGTTCAGCAGATCCTGTTGCAGCTGCAGGACTTTCTTCAGAGCAGGAGCAACGTAATTCCACCTTTTGCATAGAAAGTCTTGTTCCTGCATGCAGAGATCAAACCCTAAACGCACATCAAGGTGGTCTGGGCTGGAGCAGAGATCAGAAAAAAGGAATATTCTGTTCTATTATTGGTAGACAAGCTCAGAGTTTCCAGTACAATAGAATAAATCAGATCCACAAAGCACCACATTTGCAGGAGAACCCTTTTCTAAATTCCAAAGCAGGTATACAATGCAGCATGAAAGAATCATAGAAAAAGGGACTACTAAATTTCTCAGCAGTTATCAAAAGAAAACCTAAGGAAAGACATTTCTGCAGCTAATTTCTGAGACATCTGCTGTCTGTATTATATTTTAGCCTTCACTGAGAGCTGCTAGTAAAAACTTCTGATATTTGCCTTGAATTTGGCAGAAAAGTTTACATACTTCATGATCAACAGTGCTAGGTGATCAGCCATGCTCTTGCACAGTGTAGAAATGGTGAAAGACTATGCTGAGCATAACACTGGGTAGCATGATTGGCTTGTGATATTATTTTTTCTATTTTATGCATCTTTTTCATTATTCATGTCTCAGTATGGGTTATCTGCACGTATTACATTACATTACATATAGTTGCTTTCAGCTCATGTGAACATCACATCACTTGATCACATAACCTATTGTCCTACTGTGAGTTCCTCCTCCTCCTCATTAGTAAAGAGCCAAGGGTAAGATGAGTTCAGCAAAGTACAAGTTAATCTTCAAGAGTGGCCAAGTCTCTTACCAGTCTTCTGCCTTCGCATATAAATCAAATCCTTTATCCTGGAAAGCAAGAATGTGAACAATGTGAGTGATACAACCTGCTTTAGCACTTCACCTCTGCAGCCTCAGGAGGAATTTTAGCTTGTGCCATTCTAGCAATGCATAATTGAATAATCCAGCAGTGTATGTGAATTGACTGTAGTGTTTTACCAAAAGAGAGGCTGTTAAGTAATTCCTAATGTTTTCTAGTAAATGTAACATCTGAGGGTAACTGCTGTTTACAGAGTAATGATAATACACACCTTACCCATTTTTACTAACAGTACCTCTCTTAGGCAGACAGTCAGGCTGCAGCCACAATACCATTCTACACAGCAGCATTTGCTTCTCCCTTTCTGTGGCTTGTACCCCAGAACAGCTGTGGTCCTTTCATTCTATACGGATTTTTTTTTAACCATGAGTCTAAAAGTGCTTTGCAAAGCATCGTCAGAATCAGCAGGAGACTGAAGCTACCTCAGACAGTTCAGGTGTGTTTTTCTCAAAACAGAGCCTCAAAATTTAGCATGAAGTAAGATCAGGGTGTAGTAACAAGATGCCCCATATTCCCACATCCATTCAAATAGAACGAGGCACAAGCTGAACAAATTGCCAAAAGATCTACCACTGTTTGGTTGTGTCATTTTTGTCTGCAGGCTTTCATTGTCAGAATCAGCCCCCCGGTAATCATTAGGGGGCTGCAGACTTTCACATTCAGGTTTCTCAGCCTCTCCTACACAAAAGCAGGCACTCACCTCTGCTAAGATCATGTTTTCTCCACTTGGAATGGAATGAAGTTCCACGTTTGGAGAGCCTGTATCATAAACACGTGAGCACTGACAAAATACAAATACATTGAAGTTTATATTGTAAGGAATGTTACTATCTGTCCACAATGCCAATTAATGTTACTATATATGGCTCTTGATATTTTACATGCCATTATTATATTTTATAAAGCTCAGTTGTAACATACTAAGGAGGGAGGTCGTTTCTTCCCTGGTAGTGTAACATCCAGCGTTGGCTGCTTGTATCTTGCATAGTGGAATTTGGCAGGAGAGGAGGAGCTGAAGACCAGATCAGATCCCAGCATAATGTCTTGGGTGCCCTCATAAGAGCCTTGCACTCTAAAGGAGAATTTTTTCTCTAAGGAAGCAACATAAAAGCAGACACGGAGTAGTTTTATCATCAAAATTGGTACCAAATATTCATGCAGAGACTATCACAAGGCTGTTCTCATATTTTGGATTTATTGGGGGTTTTTTTCATTCTTACATTAATCCAACTGCCTTCACAATATTAGCACATCAGCTAAAAAAAGCTGCTGGAGAAGTAACCTTACTTGATAAAGACTTTTTCTCCTTTTTCTTCTTCTTCTCAACCACCTGAACTTCTAAGCAGCAGATTTTGCGAGACTGTAAGAGATATGAACAATAAAATACCTTATGACAGAGAATTTTTCAGTCTGACATTCTGTTTCCTAATCTAAATGGGATACAACCAGGACAAGACAGGGGTGCAGGGTGGATGAACATGGCTTACAGAAGGGAGAAGATAAGGGCAAAATGAAAAACAGCACTCTGAGGATCCCAACAGAGATTCAGAAGACTGATTTAGACAAAAATAATGAGGAAGCAAAGCTAATAAATGAGCAAATGTCATGGTTGGAAAGTCCTTGTGTAAGAACCACAGTTATGAAGGCAGGAAATGACGTGTGCCATCGCTTTGGCAATACAGGAATTTCAGGAAGAATTCTTCTAAGGAAGAATTCACTGCTGCACTGATGTCTCAGATCTAAACCACTTCCATGTGTTGCCCTTGCAACAGCAACGGGATGCTGGCATGGGGGATCTCCCTGCTATTCCAGCCTCAGCCTCTCCAGCAGTGCCTTCCACAAGGATGTGTTGTGATGAAGTGGGAAATGGCAGTGTTTCGGTGCTGGGTTTGCTCAGTCAAAGGGTATGTTGTACTATGACTGTGAGTCAAGTGAAACAAGTGTGGCAACAGGACAAGAAAGATTATGAAATACAACACTCACCACTAGTACTCCATTAGTAATGATGGTTTCAGGAGGACCTGAACTAGGAAACAGAAAAATACATTTATAATAACTCACTAAAATTACAGTATAGCTCATGAGTCACACCCTTCTCCTCATCTTCCTCTTGTTTATTTTTAGCTGCACATTGGATTTGAAAGAAAAGTCCCAGGAGAGTCATGGTACAAATTTTCTCACTCTACTCTGTCAAGGCACAACTGTCATCCTACTGGCTCATCCAGTCCTGGAGTCAAGCAAAAAAAAAAACCCCAAAGGTTCTGCAAGGCCAAACCATGTAGGGATTTTATACAAAGCCCCAAGCTGAGTCCATGGGTGGTTTCATGGAATCCATTTTTTTAAAAAATTACAGTTTGTGGTAGTATGGGACAGTAAAAGCTATAAATCAGAAATCCAGTGCATTATTCCATGTTGTGCTTTCAAGGGAGGTGAACCCTCACGCTGATCTCAAACACAAATGCATAACAAATCAGCAATATTTTGGTCTTAAATAATATTCACTGCACTAGACAAAGAAAAGGTTTTAGGATGCTTTTCCTGTCTCCCTGAAGTTCATGGGAGGTCATCCTGGCATGCACTGATTTGTTACACAGCTCATTCCTTTGGAAACCATGTTCATCAACAGCATCATCAAGGAATGATGCACTGCAGACAATTAGACTAGATTATTTCATGCCTCTAAATTGTTGATTCTTTTTGCTATGGGTTATGTTGCATTTCAGGTTTACTCACATATTATCCAAGGCAAATCCCACCTCTAACTCCTCTTGTCTCTGGAAAATGAAGAAAGAAAAATGTCTTTGGCACTAGTTTACTGGAAGTCTTCATAATGCAAGTTCTCATTCTCATTGTATAGGTACGCATGCATTATATGTGACTGGCAGAGCATTTAAAATAGAAGCACCTACCACTTCACATCTGTGTGTCTTGAGCCTCAAGATTCTTTATTGATAGGAAGCTTGTGGATGGCTGTGATAGCCGTTTTTAACAAAGAAAATGTTTGGCTTGCCTGCTTCTGTGGAGCACAAGGGACAGACCCAGGCAGGGATGCTGCCTCTGAGAGAAAAAGGGGATCGGCCAAAGGGACCGATCAGCCTAGGGAAGAAAAATGGTGACATGCAAAGCAGCTATGAAAGAGGAAAATCACTTTGTTTGGCAACATGTTGAGGGCTTTGGGTCAGAGGTAAATCTGACATTAAGGCCTGAACTGTGGAGTGGTAGAAAAGAGTATAATCCCTAGGGGGAAGAAAGCACAGGCAAGAGGAAAACGAAAGTGAAGGCAAAGAGATGATGAACAGTGAAGTGAGATCATGCTATGGGTTACTTAGTTGCTCAAATTACCCATTGAATTAAAGACAACAAAAAGTTAATAATACAGGAGAAAAAAATTTACAAAGGCTTGAAGTGTATGAGCTCTAACTGCTGTAGCTGTGTGAATACTATAACAAAAGGCTTGAATATGGTGCCTGTAACCACTCAAATAGTAATTAGGTGGGTTACAACTAGCCAGAATTTTAACTTTACCGAGGGTTAGTGGAAGTCCACACACTACCCCTCTGGTATTTTGCAAAGAAAGAAATTCTCAAATAAGGTGTTTAAAGACAATGAACTACAGGGTGGAGTTAGACAAGGTAATTCCTGAACTGAATGGTGCATGACTCGCACAAGAGACTAGGAGAAACTGGAAAAGGAGAATGATAGACAGAACATACCGGGAGGCGAGATGTACAACTTTCAGTCTCCCTGGACATTCAAAATAGGATTATTTCTTGCTGCCAAGCTGAGAGGCATGGCTTAAAAACCTTTTTTAAACACCCATGCCACAGTCCATAATCAGGAACTAGTCTGGTTTGACACTTAGTTCTGATCACAGAGTTATTACTTCCTAATTACTAGGTTAAGTAATACGGTATGAGAAAAGCATCAAGTACTGGCATGGACACCCTCCTCAATCCTCAACTGGGGCAATCTTAGCAAAGTGAGAATTTTGCCAAGACACCTGAAATTCATGAGCCTCTGTAGCCAATATCAAACCCTTCAGTGTGCCTACAGATTCAAGTGTGAAGAGGTTTTCTCATGTCAGAGTGAAAAGCAACTTCCTTTATGTGGCTGGGCAGCCCATATACAAGAAGAAAAAAAGAGAAATTTTACAAACAACATTTTAGACAGAAAAGCAGACAAACATTCTTGCCAAGCAATTCCATTTCTTATTTCAGACCTCACCTGTGAATCACACTTGAAGTGCATGAAGACTTCCTCTCCAAGGGAAAGTTTGGCTATATCAAAGTACACTGTGAAGAGATGGTCATCTTGAGTAATGACATCCTTATCATAGAGCGCCAGCTCCAGCACATTCTGGGAAAGGAAAGGAAGGACTTTAGAAATGTGTAAGGTTTTATTAGAGGCAGGAGGTCCTGGGGACAACTGTTTTAAGAGTTGTGAGGCATGAGAGGACATAAAAAGGACAAGGGAAGGAGGTGGAGAGGAGATCAACTCCACGTTGACATCAGCCTATGAGGTGGAATGAGATGAAATCACAGACATCTCAGATGCCATATTCTACCCATGGCTGAGAGAAACAATCATCTTTCATGTCATGGAAAACTATCATAAGGACACGTCTTATTCTCACATCTTTCTGCATCCCTCCTTGCCTCTTTAGAAAATTTCTTACGTCCCCTTTGCAGAAGGACAAAACCTGGCAGTTGCTGTCTAGGTCACAGCAACAGGGAAGTCCCAGTTCAGTACCTTGACCTGACTCTGGATCCTGAAGTAGAAGGTTTCATTCCAGACTGGATCTTTGCAATTCTTGATGGCTTTAGTCTGAAATTTGTCATTTGAAGCGGTTGGCAGCCACACGCTCACATAGCAATCAGTCTGGCTTACTGTATGTTAAAAAACAAAAACACATCCAAAATGAGGATTTGCTCTAGAAGAAAGAACAAATTGAACCACATAAAGTTTTGTTTTCAAAGCAGGGCACTATGATACATGATGGTATATTTTTCCAACATAAACATTGAAATTCAGGTAATAGGAATGGAGAAAAAACAGAGTGACATGATTCTTCTCTGAATAAATGTGATCAGAGATATAATAAATATGTTAAAATCAAAGGGGTTTCTCCCCCTTCTATGTAATCAAGCAATCACTTTAGCCCAGAATAAAATAATCCAGGACAAATGCAACAAGGGTTAAAGAAACAAAGTGATAGCCAAACAGAATGTTAAAAAAAAACCCAAACAAAACACTATAAAAAAGCTTCCTGATTTCTGCATAAGTCAAGATGCAATCTTCTCATATATTTTAGTTGCAGACCAGCATAACAGAAGCTACAAATGTAACAACACCTGATGGGCTTTTGTCTGGGAAAGTTGGCACATGGGGAATTGTGGTATTACTTAGCACTGAGGAAGCTTTGAGGACAAACTAAATTTGAAATAAGGCTACTCAATTTTCAGTATTTACTCCATTATCCCAACTATTTTGTCTTCTTTGTTCCATAAATATACTCCAGAGGATAACATGGGAGATCTTTCTGCATTTCTTGCTTTCAAGAGACTGCAGAGTTTTCACTGCTTCCTTTAGGGACACAGAGAAATATGTGCAATAGGCACAGCTGTGACCTTATAGAGTTACTTTGCACAGAACAAGGGCTGATGCAAAGAAGAGCAACACACTGTGTTCCTTGCTGGAACCAGTACACCAATGAGAGGACTTTCTCTGTCCATGGAAGAAATCTAGAAAGCACTTTTTCTTGAAGCAGGACTAGCTAGTAGCCTGTGAAGGTGAATGGGACCCTATAGAGCACTACAGACACTTACAGACATCTGCCTGGTGGATATTTCTTGCTCGTATGACTCTTACAGTCAGTAAGTAACATAGAGATGATTCTATCTGCAGGAACAAAACCAAACATACAAAAAACAGGAATGAATGCTAAAGGTAGGTAGCATTTAGAAAACAGAAGTGATCAAGAGAGACAAACACCCAACTCATGAACAACTTACTTGAATTTTCTATGCAGCTATGAAATGGCCAGTAGGTTTATTCCTGCTAATATCTATATCAAGTACTAGACAGAAAGACTTCTCTACATCTATAGCATGATATGAGGATTTGTCTTATTAGAGAATTTATTTGCTTCTTATCTATAATCTAGCTGTATAAAATGACAAAATTCAGACCCAGCTTGGGAGAAGATTTACTTTTGACATTTCCAGCGTGGAAAAGATGCCTTAGCCTTTTTGCAAGTGATAAAATTATCATAATGGTACTTACCTCCTATCCAATTATTACACATATTTGGTCTTCTGGGCTATGGGATATGATTTTCTCATATCCCTGCTCTTTTAAATGTACCATACTCCCAGAGTTAAATGCTGGCCTCTGATCCCCCAACTGATTTTAAGGTCAGAGAAAGAGATTGCTGCTTTGCTTTGCTTTTCCACCATGCTATGCACTGTGTATGTGTTTTTCATTTACAGGGTTATAACTGCCCTCTGGAGCTAAGGTCACCTCTGATTTTTTCTCGTGAGAAGTTTATCTCTAGTTTTGAACCTCATAAACTCTTCACGTCTGGAGTTTCTTTGCACTGTTTTGCATAAGAAATGCAAACAGTGTTTTACACCTGATAGGAAACTCTTGTTTGTTCCCTTTGGCTTTCCTCTTTCATATTAGCCCATGTCTCTGACTTCATGACTTGGATGACTTCTTAGCCTCTCATATTGCTACTCTGATCTCATATTGGTGTTCAAACATTAGTTCATGTCTCTTCTCCTTTTACCATAAAATAAACAAATAAATAATTTCCACTCAACCTTTCATTTCTACTGTCACAGACGGGGGGAAAGACACAACATGCTGGAATATAAATCAGCAGAAAAAATTTGCTCCAAAAGACCTAAAAGGCATTTATCACAACTACAGGGCCATTCACAGGTAGTGACTCCACCTATACTCCCCCTATACTGCAAAATTACTATAAAAGATGACTGCCTGTCCTGAAGTGGCATTAGCATGACACTGACCTCATTAGACCCATTGAGAAAGATGTGTGACACAGGTACTGCAGGAAAGGAGAGCAGGACTTTTGCTCTAGTTGGTCTGAGCAGAGCAATTTGGTATGTACTCTGTTAATAATGTGCTGGGCTTACCATTCGTAAAAAGTGAAGAGCATCAGTGTTCATAGGCTTTGTGGAATATATGTCCATTTGATGTCTCTCAAAATGTTTAACCTAAATGTATTAACACATGCAACTGGGGCTAATGAATATATGTTGTTGAGATTGGGGGCAGTTAGCAAGTAAACTAATGAAAAAACAGGAAAAATCAGCCTCTAGGCAACTAAAGTATTCCCTTCTAGGAAAAATCACCAATGACACTCATGCTGTTCAGCTGCACAGCAGGTCACTGTTTGTGTAAATCAAGGATGTCAAACCACTGCCAAGAGTCCAAAGAGTAGCTGTGGATCAGACCATCAAGGGCATTTGTATTCATGTCTAAAACCTAAGGCACAGAAGTGAGGCAGGTACAGAAGGCGTTCAGTAATTACAGAGCCTATAACTGATGCTGCCAGTGGCTGGCTTTGGAGAAGGCAGTTCTTGGAAGGGCTTAACTCGGTGTCATGGTTCAGGTCCCTTGCACCCACCTTCATGCTGTGTGATGAGTCCAAAGTGCCAAGAAGGCAGTACAGATTGAACAAAATACTCAGGCTTGTCGATGTGCCCTGTCATGACCAGGGAGCCTTAGCTTAGACATCACAGAGCTATAAATAACAAATGGCCAAAATCCCTTCAGCATTGTGAGTTTTGCCTAAAATTTTAGATGTTTGATGTCTTCTTCTGAACCTATGGCCCCAGACGTATAGAGATTTGCATTTTAGGGTGCATTTTCTCATCTTTGGGTTTTCCATTCAACTAATGGACAGAAAGTGTTGGCTGTTCCTTAAATTGTAAGCACAGTTGCTCAGCAAATTAACTCATCACAAAACAAAACAAGGGGGAGTTCCTAGTTATTACTAAATGGCCTTGAACTAGAGAGAAGGACAAAAAACTTTTCTAGCATATCTAGTCCTCTGATTTCCTAGAGGAAAGATGTCACGTCTGAAGTCTCCTTGAAAACTACTAGTTTTTTGTGGAAGCCAGAGAAGGGATCAAATTGAGGAAATCAGCTGTTGAAAATCCACTTCAACATTCTGCCATACTCTTTGTGAGAATAAATGGCATAATTTCCCAGCTATTACAATCTACACTGGCAGTAATTTTGCCCTTGGGCCTTAACAAGACACATGTAGAGAAAGCCTATTCAAACTCATCCTTTAAAAGATATTAGTCTTGTTACAACAGAGGTTGTTTCCCATGTGCCAAGGACAGGAAACCGCATTAGGACTTTAACATGAAGCAAGATTATGTAAGTGGAGTGATCAAAATGATAAGCGGGACTTTGTTTCATGGAGGGAACTGGACGGGTTAGAGTAGCTAATTAGACTGTTTGGCAGATGCTGAACCCTTTCTGTTTTCACCCAGTCTCCACCCAGCTGGAAAGTCCCTTGTATAGTTTCCTTTTGAAATTCTCCTTTGTGGTACCTTTGTCAGAGAAGTCCACTGTTCCCCTTCAGAATTCAGCCACATAGTTCCGTCTCCTAGCCGAGAGGTTTGAGAGATCAGGTCCTGCAACCAGAAGGGCCAACGTTATCTCTGGAAAAACCATCCTGTCTCTTAATGGCAATCCTCATTGGGAATTGAGAACTTCAGAGCCGCAGTGACAGGGAGCCCATGATCAGCGCTGGCTGTAGAGCCTTGGCAGGTACAGGGGTTTCCAGCAGTGCCTGGTGCCACTGCCTATACTGTGCTTGCCCCAGTAAGCCTGAGCAGAGGCGTAGCAGCCAGTTAAGGTCCACCCTTTGCATGACACACGGGGAGGGGAAGCAGCTCCTGGCTCCGGCTGTTAAAGGAACAGCAAACCTGTCTCCCATAAACACACCCTGTCATTAATCTTTCACCTTGAAGTACACCTTCATGTTATTTAATACTTATTCTAAGGTTGCAAATATTACATATCCAAAATTAAGAAAACCCCTAAATTTTCAAAATGTTCCCTTTGTAAATAAGTTCTTATTCCCCAAGGAGTTTTCACTTCCTTCCTATGGTTTACTATAATTTTTAAATTTTCGATATTGAGATCTTGAAGCACTGACTTTCTTCATCCTATGCAGAATTATTATAGTCAATGGTATCCCAAGAAAGTAGTATTCTCTTTGCAGTGTAACCAGTTGAGATCCCAGATGCCTTGCTTTGTTCTGTACCTTTCTTACCTGAGACAAAAGGCCATCTTGCTCCATTGTGGTTGCAGTCACATACAAGTCCTGTGTTATCTGCAGCAATGCAATTTCACATCTCTCAGCTTCCACAGACACCAGTAGTTCAAATGTCTCATATGCAGGTGAGCAACTATTTTATAAACTGACTCAGAGCCCCACCTCTGACTGGTTTCTTAAAGCCAGTTAAACCCTCCCATTTTTTTATGGTAGGAAGATGAATCCTGTGGTCAAATAAGTAGGAAAAAATACTTTTGCCTATATAGCATGTGGAAGTATGGTATTTGAGTCACTTTGCTCCATACTGGTCAATGGCAGGTTTATAACTAATGGTAAGAGAAGGATGCCCTTTTATCTGAGCACTGAACTTTCAAGTGAGCAAGACCTCAAAGTCTACAGAAGTACATACTCTATAATAAGATACAGCAAAGTACATAAATTGAATTTAGGTTGTCTGTGACAGTAAGCAGATAGAATAAAACAGCTAATGAAAAAAAAGAGATACAACACTACTGCTCTGAGCCTAAACAGGTTACTGCAAAAACCAGTTTAAGACTTTCTAAACCATATGCCCCTACAACCCCAGGTCTAGGCATGCAGGACAGATACACTTGCATGGTGGTTTATATCTACTCAACCTAGGTTCAGCAGGGCTGGGTCTATCCTAAAGTCACTGTATTCCTTCCCTCTTCTTTCTTATGGCATGTTATTATTACTTACATGCTTAGATGTAGAGTCCTGAAGCAATTACTTTCCTCAGCTTAGCTTCACCCCCATGAATATTTCTGCATCACTTTCCAGCTCAGACTGACTCCAGCTGCAAACTAGCTGCATTTAAGTGCCCACATCTGACCCAATGAAATCTGCCAGCCAGAGGCAAAACTCAGCACTGATCATGTGCTGCCTTCCTAAAAGTCCTCATCACACCTGTGAAACCACTGCCAGAACAGTACACCTGCCCCTGTGAGCACCCAGCTGACTCCTATGCCACCAAAACTGGCGTGACTCCCAACTCACCAGAAGAAGATTAAAAAAGGCAGCCAAATACTGTTGCATCTACAACAGGTCAAAACAGGACAAAATCTCTGGGGGAGGAGCTTCCTTTGCTTCCCTACTCCCCCAGTACGTCGCCTATGAGCAAAAAGTGCTCATTCTCTGAGTATTCTTGAGCTTACTGGTTAAACGCTGCCACCAGCCAGTTCCCCTTTGCATATTCCCCTGCAAAATAACATCAACAGTCATCGCAGTCAACTTGGTAGAATAAATTTTTGGCATAGGCTATGGTATTTCATAGCACCACAGAGGGTTGTGTCTACATATATGGCATGTTTCATTTGTGTGCCAGTTGCAATGATGTAGCTTGATGAAATGCATTTTTCATTAGGTCACCAAAAACCCTTGGCAACATCAGCATCTTTCAGTCATAGTTAAAGATGGTGCTTTATAATGACACTTCCTTGGAGGGCAAAGCTATAAACCAAACTGTCCTCCAGGACTGGGAATCTGAGGCTGTAACTCCCACAGTGCCAGGGGTCAAAAAGCTCTCATTTTCATGAATAGTGTTTGCAATCCACATTAGAGACAGCCCCTGCAGGAGGGAGGGACCATGGCTCACTGTGTACCCCTGCAAACTGTCTCTGATACATTCCTTTATCCACAATGCTCACAGTAAATATTTTGTGTGCTCTTTGCAGAGATAACAACAGTTTTGTTTTCCAGGAACAAGGAACATACTGTGAACCTGGAGCATGTTACTGAAATGTCTGAATATGTGGAGCAAGGCAGAATTTTCATTTTGCAAACAAGCCTTTATTGTCTGGTACTGTATACATAAAGTATTTGCACGTAAATAACATTTTGTCTGAACTGGAGGCGGTATGAGTTTATGGCTAAAAACTGTGTTTATATTTTCACAACAGGATTTTCAAGTAAAAATGGAGGCAATTCCCAGAGTTATATGCAGAGCACATAGCATCCTATTTCTGATTATGACTAGTGAAACTACCACAGAACAAAAAAGATACCAGAAGTTCAGAGTCATTCAAAACCTAAAGTTCTGAACGTTAATATTTATCCTGTGATCTTTAGGCTTGTAACATTAGGCTAAAGTTGCACAAAAACATAAGGTTCGGTTTGACATCATGAATGACAAAAGTGTTGGCAAAAGTCATTGTGAACCAATTTGTAAGATAATTTTTCATTGCTTCTTGCCAAAACAAAAATCCTCAGAGAGTCATTTTGCAACAAGCCAAACATATTATTTAGCTGTAAATGAAACCAGTTATTTTCAGGTTGGGTTCCCTGGGCTGACGAGGTAGGCAGTCTATTAAAAAGAACTTATGTTTCAAAACAAAGATGTTTTGTAAAATATCAGCATGAAATGTTTCAACTTACCTAAGCATTTTACCTGGTTTATTTTAGCCACAGATTATAACATCTAGTTGATAGTATTTTTTTTTTTTACTGAAGAGACTCTTTATTCAAAATTTTTGCAGTTGTTGCTAGGACAACAAAGTGTATTTTTAATTTTACTTGCTCCTGGAATGCGAAAGTTATTACGGATTTATAGTTTTTACACTCTCAGCACAGTTCAGAACAGTTCAAAAAAGATACTTTCCATAAAAGGAAAGAGGAAGAAAGTTTAAAAATGCAAAACTACAACGAATATTATTTATGATCTTGTGCTAGATCCCATGGATGGTTTGTGCAGATTGTTTTAAGATGGTCTTAGTTGCTGCAGACTACTGATTCACTCCCACACAGTTTGTACGGGCGGAATTGAACAAATAAGCAGTTTTGTTGATAGGCATATGTCCGAAACTGTTTGCATTGAGTAAGACAACAAAGTTTTCATTATCTATTGGAAGTAAAATATTTTCAAGCACCTTTTCTTTTTAATTTAAGAAGGGTATTTTAATATGAGATGTAATTCAACTGGGAAAAAAAATTAAGGGTGTTTTATTTTGAAAACTTTGAAATAAAATGTTGAGATTTTATATACTGTCTCAGTACAAAACAAAACTGACATAAATTCACAGGAAATTTTGATGTGCCCAAATTACACCCTTTGCTTTAAAAAAAAATTGTGTGAAAAGTGTTATGCCACTTCCTCCTGAGTTGCTCCTTCCCATCACGTATGATTCATTCACAGCCCAAGAGAGCCCAGGACATGGATGCAATTCATAGGGCTATCTGTGTTCACACATTTGTCCCTCCTTCCTCCTTCCAACCTCTGTGGTTGCTCTTTGGGATGCTCGCAAAACAGAGTTGACCCAGGGATCCAACGCTAGCTTCCAGTTGTGTCTCAGGTTCTCTTTGTTTTCCAGGTTGTACCTTGTGTTCCATGAAGAAGAATTGTGGGAGCAGAAGTTTATACTCCCTTCTTATGGCCTGTAGGTGTGTCGGCTGCATTGCATAACTGCAGCACTCCGGTGGTAAAAAACTATTTTCCTTTATGTCACATGCTATAATCAGTTAGGCCTAAAACACTCTATTTTTAAAATCTAACAAGTATTTTCAATAAAGAATGTTCTACAGACAATCTTACTTTAGAGAACAAAACAAATGTAAAAATTTCTCAGGCAATATCTTTGCCTATAGATGCCACTTCCTGGAATAAAAAAAACTCTCAACAAACCACTGCACCACCTGGGGTAGTTTCTTTCTGTAGTGCAGAATGGCCAGTGTTGAAAAAGCTATGTCCTTCTGTGTCCTAGAGCATGAAAAACCCCTCTGAGAAGATAAGGGCAGTTGGATGGGCGATTAGCACATCTTCTGCTTTCTCCTTTGCATTGCTATCTGCAAGGCCTGCATAATCATCTGAGAGTTGTTCAGGATATTGTATTCGCTGAGATTCAGCAGCTTGCGGTAATTGTCATCGGTGTACCTGACCGAGAACATGCAGTAGGGGGAACAGCAGCTGGTCAAATCAAGTTGTCCTCCCTCCATCTCTGAGCAACAGCGCTTGACACCTGGAGAGAAAGAGTTGTTGTTGCTGTAACATAGTGTTCATCTCAGTCAGTGTCAGGCTGCCCACAAAAACTCAGAGGGGACTTTTCTCCAGAAGAAAATTCATAGGGTTTAAATGCACAAACAATGTAAGTCATGTATACCCACCCCTAGTCAAGAGAATGTTGTGGGCCTGAAGTGAGGGCAGAAGGGAGAAGTGAGGGATTGCATTGTAATGGTTATCTACAGCTTACTCCTAAACATCTGTCTCGTTAAAGCCATGGATCCAGCAAGGATGTCAGCCTGAAAGGGCACTTCAAAAACCACTCCTGGTGCACTTCAGGTCTTATTCTGAGCAGCTGGGATTTCTATGAACCTCAACTGAGGAAGAAGTTGCTAGCAAGAGAATAGAATTTAAATAAGAAAGGATCAATAGAAACATATGGAAACATAGAGTTCCCGTGATCCCAAATGTGGTTGGATGGATGCCAGCAGGTTCTATCTTTTTCTTTCCATTTCCTGTGTTGCCTGAATTCCACAAAAGCAGAATTTTAGACTTAACCTCCCTGCTGCCAAGGAACAGAACAAATGCATTCTAGTAATCCATGCTAAAGAAGAGGAATGCAAAGCAGGTGGCCTGGAAGAAAAAGAGTGACAGGCCCCCCATTAACCCAGTCAGCAAAGATAGCCAGCAACAAAGAAAAAGGCTCTGTCTGAGTCAGGGAAGCAGGCAGTGTTGTCTTTTTTTTTTAATGCTTTGCCACTACTTGTAACTTACCAGGTGCTTTGTATTCTTGGAAAGTATCATTCACAAGGGGAAGAAAAATCACAATCGGACATCCTGGCAAATCTGAATCATGGAAGAGGTAGCACTCCTTCAGATTTTTCTTATCTTCGTCAGTCAAAGAAATTTTTGGGAATGGGATTTTCTGCTCTGAGTAGTATTTACACGCCTTATCTAGAGACTGGAGGATCACAGACATGGTCAGCAATGAAATTCAACTTTGTTGTCAAAAGGCCCCAAATTGTCATCTAGTATTAAGGTTTAGTGACTCAGATCCATTGGGTGAGCTCTTTCTTATCAAAAGTTATTCCATACATAATTACAGAAGATAGTAACAACATTTCTAATCACAAGATGTAAACAAAACTTCGGAGTTGGAGAATTCATCCAGGACAATGCTTTTTTCAAAAAATTGAAGCAATTTGCAGACGTTTAGGGTAAAGCATGAGTTTTAGCAAATAAAAGAGCCTATGTTTAATATATTGTATAGAATTAACTAGAAAAGAAAACGACAGCAAGAAAATCTTTTAGGCATCTTATTATGTACCTGGAAGCCAGAAGATCAGAAAGTTAATTTTAAATGCGCAATTATGTCCCTGCCTGTGCAGGCATTATGGCACAGTGTTAATTGAGATTGACAGTTTACTGAGAAAGTCTGAAGTTCTAGGCTATACCTTATCTTTGCCCTGAAATGTTTAGTAAAATACCACATCCTAATATGTACTGTGTTATTTACTCTGCACCATCTAATAGTGGACACTATCAAGCAGAAAAATTTTCTCCTAAAATGTTTAAAACTCTAGCAAACTTTCTTCCTAAATTTTATCTGACAATGAATGAGATTGAAATTAAACTTCATTAATTGTATGTCTCATGCAACATACAGCTTATTAGGGGTAGCGCAGCTGTTCTCATTCAGAAAAAGAAATTCCATTTAGGTAGACCAAGATGGCTAATAATGAGTTTCCAATTAACCTCAGTTTCTGACATATAAAGGCCCAAACTTCTTTACTGCAAGCCCTTATGGATAGCTAATTTACTTCATCTCCATGAAACTGGGGTTTCTGCAGGAAGATGCTTGTCACTGAATTTTACTTGTAGCATCTTCTTTGTCAGCTCAGAAATTATCTGCTTCTGATATCCATTTAACCCTTTTTATATTCTAATTTAAGTCAGAAGAAATCACTTCCTCATCTTTATGAATATTCCTGTGTAGGGTCTGGAAACCTCCTTGAGTCAGCATAAAACAGAAGTGGCTCTTTCCATCATCTGGAAGAGACCATGCTGATGTTCCCTTGAATAATTTGATGTATTCATAAACCAGAAAGAAGGATTCCGGGACTGACAGGAAGAAATAAGAACAACATTAATCCCTACGGTGAAAAACAGGGGAATGCAGACATTAAAAACTGAAGAGTTGAAATAACCAGCAGTTCTAAATGTTACAGGCTGGACATTTACAAGTAAAAGGAAACACAACACATGGTAACAAGAACGTCCTCACCGATGT